AGTACATCTCTCACTCTTAAAATCAAATTCTTTTATAATACTAACAGTCAAAATATTCCAAAAATATGAGAAAACTAGTGTCGACTATTTTTAGTTAACACCTCTCCTATATTTGTATTTTGAATATTTCGAGTATTGAAGTTGTTAGAAGTTATTAATTTAAGAAAAGACATTTCTGAAGCTGCTGTAGGTATTTACGATTAAATCAATTTTATCATACAATATCTTATCTCTATGAATTTTATATCCATTTTAGAGAAGAATTTTTCACTGGTTTGTGCTCTTAATATAGATTTTTTCCCAGCTTATTAATAGAAATATTCATAATTCATTCAATAGGAAAACAATTATATTGTTCATTAAGTAAGTTTACAAAAGTCACATCAAAATTCAACTGTTTAAGCAGACACAAATGTAGAGGGTGTCCGAATCAAATGTCCTTAATTTGGAGAGGTTGCTATACTTAACAGAAAGTTAAAAAGCATAAGAAAAATTAGAAAACAGTACTCACAAAGTTTTTATTAAAAAAAAATCAGTGCACTTCCGCGTGGGCTCCCTTAGTAGCCCTGAGGATATCCAACTGGTTCCAGCAAAATGCTCTAACATCGATGCCACAGCATCTTGTTGGAAGAAAACCGTGGGTATTTACAAATTTCATTTACATACATATTTATTACAGCATTTACAAATGCTGCATTTGGTGTATTGCGTAAATTTGCAACATGTCCAGGTATATGTTTGCCGTCACAGAAGTCTCAACAAATAAAAATTGTCCCATGACTGTATCATGTGAAAGATCACATCGATTTTTGGACTGTTTCTTTCCACTTCCTGTACTGTATGGGGATTTTCTGAGCCCCAAACTGTGCAGTTGTGCTTATATTCACTTTGTTGCTCACATGAAATGTTGCTTCAAATTTTAAAAAATTATGTGGTTTAGAAAATCGTGTTCATTTTCGATGCGAGAAAACATCTCCGCAGCACACGCTGCGGCAGTTTCTGTACAATCCGCACGCATATAGCCTCAGTTTTCATATATGCACGAAAAATAAAAACTGTCTCCAAAATCTAAGAATTCAACAGCCAATTTTGCCTAATATCGCCAATGTATCGCTAATAGATTTTTTTTTAACCGACTGTGCAAATTAGGGACATTTGACGGACACCCTGTAGATTTAATCACTTTCACCAACCTCTTTTAGCTGAAGCATTTTGCCCTAACTGTAAATGTATTTAACTAATTACCATTATTCTAAAATGATAGAGTGTTATATATAAACTAGCTGTTACCCGCGACTTCGTGCGCGAAGAATTTGAATTATTAATTTTTTTAAATTCACGAATGTAAATGTTTCGTTACATGTTGAAAGGGGAAATTAAAAGTTTTGACGATTGAATTGGACGGAGTGTATGCTATTATAGTTAGGTAATTTGTTTATCTATGCTAACACACTTTTGTATACGACGTTTTTTGTTTTACGTTTTTTGCACGGATATAGAGGTTTTATGGTTTGGACACACGCGAACACGCCACATATAGTTGCCCATGGGGAAAATATGGTTTTTCCAAATGTACGCCTGCACCTTTGAGTGTCTGGCCCTGAGCCTGCCAAATGCTAATTTTAAAGGGAATTGTTACCTTTTGAACTTGGATGGTAAATCCTTCGGTATTATCGGAATGCGTGAAATTAAAACACTCTCACGACGTTTGGACCTAGGTGTGCAATTTGTAACCGTGCGCAGTCTCGGTACATCGAGGTTACCTATCAATAGCACTAGCACACCGACTTTTAATCTCAGCTTGTCGGAAGGTACCCCTGACAATTCTAAGGAGTTGAAGAACTTGTTATCTGTTATATGAAGAAGTTGATGTTACTTGTTATTGCCCATTAGCGCATCTACAGGTAGATATTCTGTAATACCTCCCTCCATATGTGACATATTTTTATTTTATTTATCTGACCTAAACTTTCATTAATGAGTGCCGAAATTACCAATTCAAAAACCATTCTCTATTCCTCATATATTCTCCGTTATGTAACAGTTATCATTGATAAAATTTAACGAAAATTAAATTATATATTAATAGAAATTGAATTAAAAATTAAATAAAATTCTTTTGCATTATACAGAAAGGCGCATATGCAGCTGCTTCTGATAGAATACACGGAAACAAAATTAGAACTTCAAAAATTAAGTTAAAAATTATAAAAAATAAACATTAATAAAACCTTAATATACAAAAAAGCAAAATAGAACGAAAAATACAATTAGAATGAAAGCAAAATGGAAGAAAATTGGAAAAGAACCAAAATGGCGATTCTTCCTCAGAGGCCACACGCCATTGTAGCTCTAAAACAGGACAAAAATTTTCTGAATAAAGGAATGACCATTAGTCAAAAATTATTCCTTTATGTGGCCCGAATTTTGTCCAACATCTGAAAATAGGATGAAAGGAAAAAAGAAAAAACCTAACAGATACCTTTACAACAGAAATTCAGAAAATTTTTGTCCTGTTTTAGAGCTACAATGGCGTGTGGCCTCTGAGGAAGAATCGCCATTTTGGTTCTTTTCCAATTTTCTTCCATTTTGCTTTCATTCTAATTGTATTTTTCGTTCTATTTTGCTTTTTTGTATATTAAGGTTTTATTAATGTTTATTTTTTATAATTTTTAACTTAATGTTTGAAGTTCTAACTCCGTTATGTAAATTACATCATTGTACTCAATGGTATCATCAGGCTCTTATAATCTGTGGAATATACCATCCATTATGCTATATGTCACCACTTCTACCATTCAAAAGAATACATAATACAAAATACTACATCTTCGCAAAGTTTCCTTTAGTTATAATTAACATTAGTTTCTAAATATTAATCCAAAAACTCTTGCAGCTATATCATATCCATCAATAAATTTCTGTCACGACGTCAATTTATCGACAGCTTCTTGAATAAAATTTGATATGGAAAAGATACAAATATAAATAACTAAAATTAAATAGACTGCAAACTCGAAAAATGAAAATCAAGCGTCGAGTTGAGTAATTATTCCATAAATAAATTATTTGTTTATTTTCTCAGAAAGATCACATAATCGTGGCTTTCTTTACGATCACGTGATGTTTGACATTCAAAATAAGTTATTGCACGTGTAGTTTGACCGTGAAAGCGTAACAAACAAACAGACAGACACACTTTCTCATTTAATATATTATTAAGGACTTATTATTTGCTAGGAAACGCAGGTAAAAATGACAGGTGATATGAACTGAAGTGATTTTTAATCTAATTAAATAAGCTTTTGAATTCTTTAAGAACCAATGAAAACATTGCCAAACGATATTTGAAAAAAATAAACAGAAAAAATAATGGCAAAGTAATGACACCGTTGCCTAGCAACTCATCAGTATCAGTTCTAGTATCATTAAATTTGATTTATTTTAAAATCGTCTGCGTGTCAACTTTTTATTAAATTTTGAAAAATTAATAAAAATTGAAGGAAAAATGTCACAGATATAAAATTGGTATCATTCAAAAGGTAAAAATTTGAATTTTAAGATGGTATAAAAATAATTTTCGGAGGATAATTTGCTCCTAACTTACAGCGGAAAAAACGGTTTCGGTTATTTTTTAATTAACTGACTGTTTAATTAACTTTTGCGCTTTAAAAAGTTGACAGTAATCTTCCCCTTGTCTTAATTAATAAGTGTGCAAAGTTTGGTTAAAATCAGTGCAGTGGTTTAGGAGGAGATGTGGAACATAGATATATACAAACATACATGGCAATGACTTTTATTTATATTAAGATATATTATCCTGCACCAATAAAAATAAAAATTCAAGTATTTTATAAAGCGCTGCTCTTAATTGCAAGAGTGGTGCATTCTAGTAAAATGAAATGCAGTGAATTTGTCATTATTTTAGAAAATCGATTAATTCTTTTAAGATGAGAGATTGTAGCGCCACTCAACTGCAATTACAGAAGCTCACTTTCGAATTGCTAATGATTTAAAAATGATCACAGAATAAACCCTTACTGAAATACTGCTCGTTCAGTGTGTTGTGAAATTGAGCAAATACTTAATCCGAACATTGAAAGAAACGGACGGAACCTCTAGTCCAAAACACCGCAGCATAAGAATTATTTATTAGATCGTCTGCGTTTTCACTATATAACACTAGCTGATATGCCCGGTGTTGCTCTGGATTAAAATAATTTCACGTTTTTAAATTAAAATGAGAATATCAACTGATGCAAATGATTTTTAAAGAACGCCGAAAGATAATTTTCTCCATAATATTATTATATACCACCATTAATATTTGTAATATAAGTACATCAAATTTTTGTTCACAAAACTAAAATACAAGAAAGGTTTTAATGGAACTTTTGGGACGTTACAAGAACACGGAATATATTCAGCAGTAAAGCATTTTTACCTAATAAATTTGTTTTTAATCGAAATCGATTTTATCCTTTAGTCAAAAAAGGGCTGTAATGCCTGCATAAATTTAAATTCAAAATGCTTTTAAAAGTGTAAAAGAAATCTGGCTGTACACAATATGGAAGCCAAATTCATATTCCAAGTTCGCATCTACCAAAATACATAGAATGGAGCATGATAGCCTGAAATTTGCTCCAACTAGTTTCAGTTCTTTACTAGTTGTGGGGGGTTTTGAGATGTGGCTGCTTTCAGCTTTTAAACACTTTTATTTAACACGACTTGTTTCCTGTTTATCAAGATGGAATTTTGTAATTGACTCTTCACTCACTTCCTGGTTTACTAGAATTCTGCAATTCTGTACCCATGTGTGTTTTCGATGACAATGCACCCCCATTTTAAAATTTTAAGATGTTCATTATCAGTTGATCTATTTATTTAATTAAATTTTATTCCAGGCCATTCTTGTCACCTGGCGGTGACTTTGAGAAAAAAAATTGATTTCAAGATTCCATATTTATGATAAGGAATTATAAATTAAAGTGTAAAAGTTAGGAGCTGGCCTAGTGGCAAGGTCTCGGCTTCGCGACCGGACGGTTTCAGGTTCGAAACCTCATTCCACCGAAGATCCGCCGTGTATTGTGGGCCCGCTGCAGGCAAATCCCACGCAGGGGGCCAAACGCCCTCCCGCAGATAAGCTTGGAGAGGGGATGTCGTCCTCGTTACTTGAACGACGGTTCGAAATGAAGCAGAAGTACCCCACATGCTGCTTCAAAACAGGACGTTAACATAACTAAACTAGGAAGTTAGTAATTTTTTTAAATCTGCCTTTTAGTATACAAGAAAATTTGAAAACTGTTTGGTTCTTTCTCGTTATAATCGAATCAGTTAACGCGTTTTATGTCTTGACTTCAATTTGGTCTTGAAAATGCGTGGTAGATTATAACGGAAATTTTCTTTTCTAATTTTCAGTTATAGCCACATAAATTGCCGCTGGTTTTTTTCATCTACATCTAGCTGGTTATTGGTTCATCTGCGAGATTTTGTTCTCCATTCTTTATAATCGCGCCAAAGGCGTGATGAAAGAAAGAAGTGAAAAATATGACGTAGAAAATTAGTTATATGGCTATATTTGGAGAGAACCAATTGTTTTTAATAAAATTTAATTACATTTTTTTCTCAGCAGAGGCTTGGGGCTTGGCCTGGATTGTGACTTTACTTTGTTTGGCGGCGAGCGCTGAAGAGGACGTCACGAAGAGGGCCTACATGGACAACTCTATCGACTCGTACTTCAGCGAGGTGAGTGACGTTTTCAGGTGGACACGCAGTTTATCATTCAATTCAAGGGCAATCGATCGAATTCAATATGACTGTGTTTGAAACCTATTAGTTACCCTTCAACCAGTTACTTCAACAATACCAATTTGTAGAGAGAACGCTTCAACTCTTTTACGAGGGTGTAACAAAAATAAGGTAGCAGGACCTCTGACGGGTGCTCAAATTCTACTTGCGAATTAAATTCCCTATCTAGAAAGCTGATAAGGTCACGGCATTCGAACGCCGCAGGTAGTTAGTTTAGTTCTTCTCAGTTAGAAGATGGGGGAGTTGACAGAAACTTGGTCGGCGATTGAAGTTAAAAGTGTGATAAGGTTTTTGCGTCTAAACTACCGGGACTGCTCTCGACAATTGTCCTGTTGAAGCAATACAAAGGCCCTCAGTTACGCGTGGTTTGGTACAGAGTTTCTAAAGGGAGTTATTGAAAGACCCTCCCTACTTCCCGGACCCGTACCAAGTGATTTTTATCTCTTCTTATCGTTGATACTTCCTTGGGATATCGGCATTTCAGAACCAATCCCGAAGTTAAGCCAGACATCTTGACGTGGTTCCATGATCTTAGAGCTTATTTCTTCTGTGCTGATTTCGATATGTAAATGTATCCATCAAACAAATGCTTTTTCAGCCACTGTGACTCTGTGGAGCAGTAACATGTACAGTCACGAAAAAAAAGGGAGCCACCCAGCATTATTCTGCGATTGTTTATTAGGCATTTAAAATAAGTTACCGATCTTCAGCAAATAACGTATATTAAAAGATTCTATGGTTAAAACTTTCATTAGGGGTCATCTAAATATTTAAAATTGCACGAACTTCAAAATTTTCAATAGCAACAACCATTTTTGATGTCAAAAAACTTTCAGGTGTGGCCCATATTGATGCCATAAATCGATTTCTCATGAAACAATAACCCAAGAAATAAATTTTGATTAATATGTCTTAAATAGATCGGAACGACATTTTCTGTTCTAAATAGAAAAAAGTTCGTCTCCACATTTAGACAGAGAAGTTCTCTGCTTGCGTTTAAATGTCTGTAGTAGCATTTTAAATTATTTCGCAAGTTAAATGTTATTTTCAAAGTAATGAATGATATACATTTTACAATCGGAAAACTTGATGCGTAAAAAAATAAAATAGTGTGATATTACACCACTTTAATTTATAAAATTTTAATTCATATATACAAATAGTTAAATGTTTTAGTATTTGTATTTTACAAAATAAAGTGTAATAATTAAAACGTTTTCGAAATATATGACGCCCCGTAAGTGCACCGTTTGACAGCGAAAACTTAACGTAACTTCTCGTACGAATATGCTGAAATTTTATGTATGCTTAACAAATGGTCATCTGCTACGATTACTGTTAAAATTGTTAAGTGTTATGATTCAAAAAAATTTTAACATCAATTTTGATAAAATATTTCATTTGCTGAAAATTATTTTAAAATAAAAATTAAATTGTGCAGATTAATTCATACTACTGCATAAAAGCAATCCTTTGTCGATAGCTATATAATTTCTCAAGATAACAATAAAAATTGAAAATTTTACTTTAATATTAGAAACTCAAAATTTCATTTGCTTATAATTGAGAAACAAAAAATGCTGGTATACGGAAACTTGGTATTCCAGTAGAAACTATTATGCAATTTCGAAATTTTTTCAGAAAAATGTGTGTTTCCATCGGAAATTTTGAAGTTAGTGCTATTATAAATATGTATGAAACCTTTACGAAGCACTTACGAAAATTTTAAACATGAAACCTTTTACTGGGCCTCATTTTCTGAAAATTGGTACCTTTTGTTTCAATACGCGATGAACGACGGTAAAATAATGCGGAGTGACTTCTTTTTTTCCCCGCGACTGTACTTGGTACCTTACTTGTTTGTCTCTCTGAATTCGTGGGTAAAGAGTTTCCCTCTGGGCAATGGAAGTGCTTTGGTGGTGTTTTATCTGCCTAGCTCTGCACGCGTCCTTTTCTGTTTCTATCGATATGGGGTAGCTATTGCTGGTTTTTACCTACTTCTCGCTGGTTTGGAATTTTCGAAAAACCGTCTGAACATTTTTGGAAGTAGTCCTGTGTGCCCCTAAGCTTGATGTCTTTGAAGATATTCTGGCTTCTTGCAGCGAACACTGTATAGGAGGAGTTTGTTTTCCACCAAGAATTTTGATTTATTTCCCAACAGTGGGATTTAGCGGCCATGAATTAATGCCTAATTGCTTTCAATGCGCTTTTTGAGTGTCAATTTTTCTTCCAACATCATATTTAGGTACTTAGTTTAATTGCTCCATGGTATTGCTGTACGAAATAATTTTAGATGTGGGGGTATTGTTCTTTACCTTGACATATAGACCGTTTCGTACTATTTTCTAACACTAATTTTAATTTTCCATTTGATTAGATGCTTGTCCAGTTCATTTGGATGACCATTAATGTTGATCATGATGGCATCTTGGTTGCGGTGTTTAGTTTCTTCTTATAGTAAAGAGAGTCAAGTATGTATTTTGGACCTCTATCTTTTTACCAATTGGATTCAAAATCTGATACAAATCTCCATTCTTGGTGCCAAGACCACATTCCAAATTCTATTTAATTACATTCTTTCGTTTTCGAGTTCGTATGCGTAAAAATAGACAGGCCGACAGACAGTCAAGCAATTGACTCAATTGGTTCCAAGTTTGATACAGATCTTCAATACTAGTGGTGAAATCAATACCAAATTTCATTTATGTAGGTCTGGGTTGTTTTTTTTTAGTTACCATATTCGTATGTATACGAGCGAAAGGGGAGAAGATTCTCTTTGATGGATATCATCCAAAATTCGTTATAAATCTGCAGTTCAATATAAACCATAAACCATGTTACCCCTGTCCTGCTAAGGCATCCAGAGACCTTGAATGACAGTCGCTGCAAAAGTTCGAGTACTAAGGCTGGAGTCCTAGTAGCCACAACCGGCAAAGGCCGACCCCTGCAGTAGGAGGTACGTACTGTCACTTGGAGGGAGCCCCCCCCATTACTATACCCACGAGGAAAGAGAGAACCCGTTCAATTATCTGTCGGCTTCTCATCGTGTGCTCTCGGTGCCCCCCGGGTGGGAGGCAATTGAATTTATATAAAGACCACATATTGATAACTGCGATCACAATAATTCAAACTCTTAAACAGCTAGACGAATGAATTTCAGTACGCGTGGTCTTTATATTCAATTCCCCACATACTGAAATTCATTCATCTAGTTATTTCTGAGTTTCAGTTACTGTAATCACAGGCATACAGAAAAGTATTGCAATCGTGAAAACTCTTCGATCTCGAGATTTTTATGCTTTCTATTCATGCTTTTATTTTTTATGCTTTTTATTCATGTTTCAGAACTCTCTGAATTTAAAAAATGGAATTATGTCTATTTGTCAGTATTTCTGGCAGTCTGTATGTCTGTGAACACAACTCAAAAACACCACAAGCTAGACGGAAGAAAGTTATTAAGTGGTCGTAAACCCTTTGAGGACGGCCGCACGAAAAATGTGAGGTTTTCATCTGGCCGGCGTTTCCCATCGTGCGTGGCGGCTCAGGGCCGGAGTACCTTTTTTTAGTTAAGCCGCCTAATTGCACTAAAGTTGGTGTCACGCCGATATGACAGTCGGTAGCAAAAAGTCACAAGAAACAGCACGTATTTTTGAAACTGGGAGGGAATGTACAAAGCAGCTGGCATACTCGCGCAACAATCGTCCTCAAAGGTTAACCAGCGCAGGCACAGCCGTCCCGCCAAGGCACACGGCAATACAGGTGACCGATCGAGCAATAAACTGCTCCGCCAAGGGAACCGGTCGGGCAGTGAGAAGCCGCCTTCTACATTACCACCTGAGCCTCTCCTCCCTATTGGAAAAAATTCAAAATACCGGTATCAAAATGATACTGGAACCAGAAAAATGATACCGGAACCAGTAAAAACATACCGGAAATTTTGAAGCCAGTATGATACCATACTGGAAATTTTGAAGCCGGTATGATACCATACTGGAAATTTTGATACCAGTTTTCAAACATACTGGAAATTTTAATACCAGTATGAAAACATACTGGAAATTTTAATACCAGTATGAAAACATACTGGAAATTTTGATACCAGTATGAAAACATACTGGAAATTTTGAACCAGTATGAAAACATACTGGAAATTTTGAACCAGTATAAAAATATACTGGAAGTATTCAAGACAGTATACTGGTTTAAATACTTGTAATAAGTGCGTAACAATAACTTAAATACTTGTAATATAATAAGTT